TACCTCGGAACAGAAATAAAACTGGTTTTCCATAACAACCCAACGCAACCCTCGCAACTAAGTTTATGCTTGAACGCGACCAAAACCATGCTATGTGTGAGGTTCAGCGGGCTGGTGAAAAAAAAAATGGGTGTGTATTTTTTAAAAAAAGGTTGCGAGCGGTCGCTACTGCTTGCGAACACTTTTTGTGACGTAATAGTAGTAGGATTGGCTGCTACTAGTAGCATTTCATAATCAGCACCAGTATCATCAGTGTGCTACTATCTGTAATACTGTAAACTAGTACTAGTAGCTAGTAGATTCAAATCAAGATAATGAAAACATTGTCTCTACTATGGCCATTCTTTGCATTAAATTGTATGATGTGCACACCAACATCATAATACAAAAACAGTAGGATGTACTTCTTAGTACTAGCTAGTACTAGTAGTACTACTATGGTGCCATATGACTAGTGGTAGTAGTAGTGTATGCATCATGTGGTTGAACTTTGCAGCTTCCTTGCATGCTCCACTTGAACTACAACAACATATTGAGTCTTGGAATGCACACTTAAATGGTGGGTAGCATCACCTTGTTACTGGCTTGCATCATCTTGTCTTTTATATGCAATCATCTTCTTCATCAAATTGAGTATCATGGTCTGCTGATGCACAATCTTTGCTTGTGATAGAATTACTAGCAGAGCATATTCTTWTTAAAGTGTAAGACAATTAAATTCTACAAGCAAGAAACTGTTGAGAAACAGGCAATGATACTTAAGCATTGTTTTACTGTATACCAAATACTACGCCATACATGATGTCAACACACATAAGACAATAGCTGATTCTGTGCACAGACTCAAATTTTTTAATTTATCTATTTGTTAGTTATCTTATCAGCACATCCAATATCTGGTCTATCAGTTGGTTGAGCTCTCCGAAGATGGAGGACCTGGCATACATTAGAGGATCAACAGAAACTATTTTTAAAATTATTCTCAGGTGTACATATCCGTTGGAAATATGAATCGTTTTTTTCTCAATTATCTTAGAAAAGTGAGAAATGTTCTGGTTTTTAAAGTTTCTTGAATAATAAAATTATGGTTTGATTGGATTTACCATTATTCGATGGTGACAGAAAGTTGTTTTGCCGAACAAACAAAACAAAATCAATCGTTCGTCAAAAAAGATGAGAATACGACGAGCATATTTCTATCATTCTTGGCTGTTATTACTGCATTGAGATCGAAGCGATGAAATATGGTTCTTCCACCCTGCTTTGTTGTACCAAGGAACAAAATTGGAGAAAATTTCCTCTCCCTCGTTTATCGTTCGAGAACTCATCAAAAATTCTGGTCGAATAGTATTTCTTGTGTGGGACGGGTTGAATACAACTTCTTTCATAACGGTATTGGAATATAATCGTCCCAGCAACCCATGTGTCGGCACGACGTCTGGATCGGCACTATCTTCGGTGAGAGAGAAAGAATGGTATGTTTCTGTATTAAAGTTCCCGTTACACCCATGCTTAATGAAAGATAGCAATCCAGAATCGACTCGGTACGCAGAGTGAATATCCCGCTGATTAAATTTCATTGAGAACGAAACGCATGTACAAGGAAGAGAGTGAGGACTAAAACAACTGAAAGAAAGACGAATCCAATAACCCAGAAAACGATGGTTTTTGTCCTTACTCTTCTTGGCATGGTGAGACCATTGGCATTGCCAGAGACGAATCTCGCCACAGGGCCAATGGTTGTGCCGAGAACACTCTTGGCGGACGCCCGTTCCAAAATCGAAGATGTCGAAGGGGCGACACGCACGTCGTGAATAGACTGTTCAAGCATCAAGTATGATTTCTCAGGTATAGTAACCCTGGGGACTAGACCCTTGCCGTTGCTTCCAACCAAGGCAAAATTATCCGCATTGAAATTTGGGATTTCAGGATCGAATCCAGTGGGTTCCCAGATTGGTCTGCGTCGACTGTGGTGGTCTTCGATATTTGTGGTACAACCATATGGCTGAGGATCTCGGAGGCAATAAATAACTTGGGCATGCTTCGAAGGAAATCGGTAAGTGGCCATTGTGGGTCCATCGAAAACGTCGAAGGGACCTTTTAATTCGCCTTCCTCCACATCTCTATCGTCAACCATCTGAATGGCTCTCTTCCTGATTTCGAGATCAAGTTGTGCCTCGTTCATTTGCCATCTTGCTCTTGATGAATCGTCTTTGAAAGCTGCATAAAATGACCAAATTCCGTTGAAACCAGCTCTGGGTTCTTCGTAATGAAATACCATCTTGAACCCTTGGTTTTTCAAGCCTTTTTCGTACATGGCACGTTGGTAGTTGAAATTGTCGGGGTAAGTCTCGGAAATATCACCTATGTATGCAGATTCTCCAACCTGCGTCAGTAGAACACCAGTGTCAGTTAGCGAGTTGTACAATGAATTCAAAAAGGCTCCGTCTCCGTAGAGAGCTTCGACGAAATCGACTGCATTTTGTGGATCCCTATGAGTTTTGGATTGGAGTTTGGAATAGAAGTGTAATTTACGAGATGGTAGAAAGTAGCCACAAAGGATGGAGAAAACACATGTTGAGAAAGATGATACCAAAGGCCTGAAAGAGGCTGATCCATCGTGCGAAAAGGTCAGGGACAAGAAGACAACTTACAATGCATCTAGAATGACAACGTCAAACTTTTCTTCGGTTCCGTATAATTCGTGTCCTTCTAACCGGGCTTCGTCGGAAAAGCGATCCCTAAACCATTTCAAGGCATCCAGATGGTGCATCTCGACGCGAGGGTCATCCATGCAGTACCGTGAGCTGCCCTTGAACATCGAACAATCGTTCCACTCTGGCAAATAAAGCTTCGACACTTCCACAATCACAGGGTCGATTTCCACCATGACTACTTTCTCCACAGTGTTGTGTTTTAGGGTTTCACGGAGTGTTGCGCACTCGCCACCTCCAACAATGGCAACTCGTTTTGGATTCGGGTGCGTGAACATGGCGGGCTGGACCAACGCTTCGTGATAAGCGGCCAAGCCCTGGAGTGTGCTTTGCACCACACCATCCAAGTACAACAACCGGTCGGCTCGGAACAAATGCGGGTGCGATTCCATGTATGCTCGGTATTCGCTAAATTTTTCGGAATCGGAAGTGTAATATTCCAACCACGGCATGGTCTCGTAGTCGTCTTCGCTGTCTACGATGTCGATTCGCTGAAACGGCGATTGCACCGAAGTGACACGGTTGACCCAATCGTCCGAGCTACCCATCTGTTCCAATAAATCGGCGTCGTTCAAATCTACTGGCTTCATGCCGCGTACCTTATTATCGACCCACCACCGGAATCGGAATGGATCTTTGCCATGCTTCGACAAAGATTCGAATGGTCCAAGCTGAGAAACATGGCCAACATTCAAGCTGTCACCTACAACACCGCTGGGTTCGATAACATCGTCGGGATAAAAGAATCTAGCGAGCGAATCGACACAAGCCAAAAGAGTTTCTTCCGAAACTTCTTCGTCGTCTTCGTCGGCAGCATAGGTTTCCTTTTCGGTCGATCGCGGAGGAATATACAGGAAATCCGCCATGATTTTGCCTTCCTTGGGCCAAGCCTTCAACGAAACCTGCCCCATCCCGTATCGGAACATTCCCAGTGCCTGGAGTGTGTCAGACTTTCCACCGTGCTTGGAGGTGTCGTGCGCAAAATGCCCATACAGCGGGAACATCTCTTCGCAGTCATAGGAAGCCTCTACCATATCTTCCATGAACTCCGTAATGATTTCCTTTCCGTTGGTACCATCGTAGTCCGCAAAGTGGTCTTCGAGTCCATAGGCGTTGAGGTAGAGCTGAAGAAGATTTCCAACACCCTCGACTTCGTCGTCGTCGTCGTCSTCCTCCTCCTCCTCGTCCTCATCGTCGTCGACGATTTTGCTGGTTGTTTCGTCATCTTCTTCTATTTCGGCGTAGTTAAACTGAAGAGTTACCCGTGTATCATTGAGATCCTCTTCTACGCATTGTGCTTCTTCTTTGCTACTGCCGAGCGTTTCCGCGAGGAGCGGGTGGACAAGTAGCGCAAGTGAGCCGTCGACGCTACCGGTGGCATAAATCCTTCCCGCCAAAAATCCAAAAACAGCAACACCCAGAATCGACACTAATGTTGCAAGGAACGAAATTTTCGTGCCGGAGGTGGAGCGCGAGGGAGGTTCGGTTGTCATGTCACTGTTACTACTATCGGCACACTTCGTGCTTCCGTCAGAGCTTGTTGATTCGTCTTCGTATATTTCAGTTGAGCTGTTGCTACATCGATTTTCTTTTTGTTTCGACTGCAGTGCTGATACCATGCTGCAGAGAAAACAAATCTTTCGTGTGGGACAAGTTTGCTGCCGTTCTTTGTTTCGTTCGAAGACCGATGTTCCCCAAAATCCCGTCAATTTTGTGGAAAAGACCGGGTGATATGACTTGTGCTTGTGGCGATCAAGAAGGGTAGGATTGAAAGAGCGAGTCCACCTTATTGCCGCCGAAGAATATTATTACTAGATCAAGCGATGATCAAAGAATGGAAATGCTACGGCAAGAATCCTTTGCGGCTATCAACGTATTTCAGCAGATCCAACAAAGATGAAAGGAAGGAATGCTTCTGCAGGAATACGGAGGTTCCTAGCGGTATTTGCAGTATCGCAAGGCGTGAGTAGGATGAATTCAATCGGGAAGGGTACCGTACGGTACGTACTCGTACGTATCGTTGTATTGAAGATCGAATGACCTCTCCCTCTAAAGTTATTTTTCATTTTTCACCATCATCTCGTAGTAACCCTAAGAGTTATTCTGCTCTGCCTTGCGTGCGGTACGAACCGTAGTGATAGAGCGTTAGATTGCTAATCCCAGCACGTGCCGGCTTTCTTTATTCACACTTTTCTTTTTCTTTTCTAGGCAATAAGTCGTACGGCAAAATAATACCGTTATATTTTAACGGTCATATAAAAGTAGAGAACCGTTGATCGGCGAATCTATTGCAGCCAAAAGCTACTCCAGCTCCAAGCACAACTCAAAAAAAAATCAAACGCTTGAGATTGCAAGAGCTCTTTTGTATATGCGCCCAATGCACGAGTGCGCGAAGAACGAAGAGAGAATCTCACTTTTTCTAGGAACTCTATTTTTTGAACGCAGCCGCGCAATCCCCCTTTTTCACTTCTGTGCTTTGGGGGTACAAAATGTTGGTTGTTGCTGCACTGCAGCTTGATAATGATTTATGTACTGTAAAGGGTTTGACTGTTAATATTACTTAACAAATGACTGTTGATAGGTGTGTTGGTGGTCGAAAATGACCCTTTTCATGAAATGACCTACGGGAAACAAAGCTATGACAATAGTTGGATATTGAATGACCACTATGTACACAGGTCCGTACTGAAAAGTAGTCGTACGTAATTCAAAGAACATTTGCTTCATTCTCCTATCGTTCCATACGGTATGATCTTGCCTTACGGTACTACTGTACTCACGCTTCAACAAGATGGAGGTGCACCACCAAGACGCAATAGTGAGGGATATTTCGCTTTGAGTCAAAGGAGAACAAAGTGTGCCGAAGAAATATGGACTACGGTACGTACGGTACAACATGTACTACTTCACTTGTCCTTGAAACATATATCGTGCGATCGAAATTTGAGAAAAATACACGCTAGTTGTAGTCTTGTCAGATTTGATAAAAAAATACTCTTTCCTTAATCAACTGCCCGATAAAGACGCACAGTACGTACGGTAGTTGCATCACATGGTACAACTGTGTACGTACGATACCGTACGTTGGCGCGGTGAGCCAAGAACCAAAAAACGAACCGCGGGACTTAAGGTTAAAATGGTTGCGACTTCAGTTCGTAATTGTACGTGTACTCGTAATTTGCAATACGAAACGGCTTCAGGCATCTGAATCAAAAGCTTGTAGAGCGACGATAACAACCCAATCGAGAGTGCATTGTTAAGCCGCATCGAACCAACTAAAGCAGCATTGTTCAATTCATATCATTGAATACAGTACCAGGTAGTGCACAAAAAATACTGTTCGGTCGATCCCACAGCCCATAGCGATCCACCCGATCCACGAAAAGAGGAAACTCGAAGAGAAGCAAACGCGGGTGAGTGAAGGCGTGCAGAAACGTGGAAGGCTGCGGTACCAGAGCGAGCGCAACTTGCTACAACACTACGCACAACACACACAGAAGAAGAAAGGCGAAAGAGGAGAATGTGGCGGTCGAAAAGCAAGCGTCTACTCATGCCATCGCCCGGAAGAAACCATCCCGGCAACCGGCTCGCAGCAGCAGCAGCAGACTCGGTGCAAAAACTCCTGTTGCTAGCAGCAACCGCCCTTGCAATTGTTTCGCTGACGAATCCGGCGGCGGTGACGGCCAACCCCGAGGAGATCGACTATACGTGCGATCCGGGCTTGGATTATTCCCCGGACAACCAGTGCCAGACCATCCAGGACGGCATCTGCGACGATCCAAGGCACGGTGGATCCGGGGGGGACGCCTGCATCGGGCAGGATTGCATCGATTGCAACGTACACTGTAAGTCGACCCGTGAGGCGGGATCGTTGGGATGCTGCTTGGTTTGTTTGTTCGTAGGTTGGTTGGTTGGTTGGTTTTGGCGCAAAATTCACGTGCAACGATGCGAAAGCAATGGAATCCATGGAATGGATTGGATTGGAATGCATGTTGTTTGCAAATATTGTTGTTTGTGCAGGATCTGGTTCGAGTCTTCTTTTTCTTTGGGGGGGGGGGGAACGTTTGCAGCCACACGATGGAAACAGTTCGCTTGGCGGCACAATAGGCGTTCGGCTGACGTTTTTGGATTTTGATTGGCACTCACATTTTCGGTATCGATTCTTGGACCCTCCACATCCCCACGTGCGACGGAACAATCCCAAATACGTGCACAAAACATACAAACAAATAATGGACGCTCTTGTGTATTTGCATCGGCAGGCAAGCAATTCCAGGCCGACTGCTACGGCTGTCTGAATGCCAAGGGGTGTTATTACTGTCCCGAGGATGGAACCTGCGAGAATTCAAATTTCTATACCAGYACCAACAAAGTCCCCGCCTGCAGCGAACCCGATGTGTACCTCAGTAACGTCCTGGGCGACACACCCGACGCWTGTATCGATGCAGACTCCTACACCCAGGACCCACTGTGGTCTGGGAGCGAGTGGATGTACGACGAGATCAATCTCGTGGAGGTGTGGGAGGAATACGGGCTGAGTGGAAAAGGCGTCTCGATTCGGATCAACGACGACGGGGTCTACGTGAACAACAAGGAGTTTGAGGGCCGCTTCCAAGACGAGGAAAATTCGTGTGGATTCTTTATGCCAAACTCAATGGATCAGGATGTAGACGGACACGGAACGGCCGTGGCCGGGATCGTTCTCGGGAACGACAACAACGATCTCTGTGCGACGGGCATCGCCCACGAAGGTGAGTTATCAACACGGAGTGTGCTTTCCCGCTGTTTTCTTTTGCGTCGCACAGCAAGAATTGCAATCGCAAAAGGAAGCATGCCAGGTTCCACGCACCGAGCACGTAGTGACTCGAAGGGAGGGAGACTGACAATCGAATAATGCACGCTTTCTCTCGTTCTGCTCCCGCTCACGGTGTGGGTTTCCCTTGCGTTCCGTTCGCTCCTTGAATTTGCTTCTATTTCGTCGAAACAGCCACTTTCAGTTCCTGTAATTTTTTCGCCGACGATGTTCCCTACAGTGCCATGGCCTACAAGCTTGATACATTTGACATTTCCCAGAACTCCGTCGGGATGCCGTAAGTGCCGGACCGTACCACGCGTTTATGTTTTGCCCATGCAACACCGCACATGGATGCATGCATACGTGCCTCGAAATCAGCAAAACGCACGAATAGAGTCATCTGTCGGGCAAGGCTCAGACGCAGCGAGCACTAACCTCTAGTTTCGTTTCCGTCACGGATCGTCCTGACTTTCTCTTGTCCATTTTCAATCGATTTTCTCGAAACACAGGGGCTGTGGCGAGGAGGGCCAGCATGGTTCACGAGGTGGTGGTCCCGTCCTTTCTAAGTACAATCAAGTATGCCCCTTTGAATACACGGATTCGTTGTACCAGCCCTGCGTGGAGTGCGATGGAGAATTCATAGAGGACAATACTCTGTCTCTGAGCTGCCAGACTGCGATTGCCAGACACTGCAAAAGCCACTACAAGCTCGACAGAGCGGCATGTACGGATTTCCCCGAAATCATCATCGGAGGCGACTGCGACTTCGATAAGTTGCCTATAGCGGCCATTAAAGCCATCGAGCTTGGGATCGAGGAAGGACGCGACGGAAAGGGAACCATCTACACCTTTGCTTCAGGAAACGACTTTTCTAAAGGAGACAACGTCAACTTTAGCGGATGGACCAACTCTCGGTATACTATTTCGGTAGGTTCCGTCGGAAAGGACGGCGAACACGCAGATTACTCCACGTCGGGTGCCGGACTCATGGTATCCGCTCCCGGGGGTGATCCGAAGGACGTTGGCCACCTCATGACCGCTGGACTGGGAGACGAGAAATGTGTGGACTCGGGGCAAGGTACCTCCTTTGCCTGTCCCGTTGTGACCGGAGTCATTGCTCTGATGCTGGAGGCCAACCCGGACCTTACCTGGAGAGACGTGCAGGGAGTCCTGGTCGAAACATCTCGAAGCATCGAGGACGATGAGGACTTGACAACAACCGTCAATGGAGCAGGATTATGGCATTCGAACTGGTACGGATTTGGTGTCATTGACGCGAAAGCTGCGGTAGATGCTGCCATCTCCTGGGAGCCATTTTCGGAAGAACTGCAAGCTATTGGAATTTCGGACGAAGTGGAAGATGTCTTGTCTGTTGATCCTGAGGACGAGTACGTGTCTAAAATCGTTCTCGACCCCGTTGAAGACGGTTATCCCGACGATTTTGTTGCTGAATCTACGGTTATCCTGTTGGATTTGGCTCACTACAATCGAGGAGGTCTACAAATCACACTCGAGAGCCCATCCGGAACGACATCCGTTTTAACTCCCGGCAAACGACCCGAAGCTGGCGCACTAGACGACGGCGAGCGATGGAAACTAATGACACTCAAGAATTGGGGCGAAGACCCCACAGGAAAATGGAAGTTGAAGATTCGAGATTTGAGCGTGGAAGAAAACGAAGTTGTAAACCCAGAGCCTGATATTTTCTCGCAATGGACTTTAATTGTCTATGGACGCTCCGCTACYGGCCAGAAAGGATTTGGCGGAGAAGAAGACGAAGCAGATGCGAATTTGACGAGTGACCTTTGCCTCAATCCCACGGCTCCCTCAACTGGGTGCCTCACGCTTGGCGACGGAAACTCATCGTGCCCGGCCGGTGCAACACTTAATTTCAATGAAGGCTCTATCACTGTCGACGCAAACATTGTGTGTCCCGAGGAAATACTCATTGGCGACAATATGCACTACTCTGAAGCATCTCAAAGAGGACTCTGTTCCTGTGAAGCGGCACTATTCGATGGAAATTGTGACGTCCTCCACGAAGATTTGGAGTGCGAGTGCTTTTCGTGTCCGGACGGACTCAGAATGAGCACTGCTTACAGCTGTAATAAACCCATTTTCAATGACTGTTTGACCTTCGATTGCTTGGGGAATTGCAATGGACCCTACGAGCCCCCACTGCTGGGCCAACCGCTCCCTACCGGGGGCGGAGGCACTCAGGATCAACCACTAGGGCAACCCGTGATGACGCCTGTTGTTGCTCCTGTTGGTGAACCTACTGGTGAGCAACCTTTGATACCCCCCGACGGACAGCCCCCAAATGGGCAGCCAGTGAGTGCGCCCGTTCTTCAACCCATTGGTCAGCAGACGCCTACGGATGAAGGAGTTGGTTCAGAGCCTGTGCCACCGAATGATGAGCCCGTTGGTGAACCAGTGATCTCACCTGATAACACTTCCGCTGGCAGTGCGTCGGATGTTCCAACACTCGGGGAAGAAGTAGCGTCGGAGCCTGCAACTACTTGCAAGTCTGCGCTACCAGTCGAATCAGCTGCGACGAACGGGGGAAATATTACCGCGGTCTCGATTTTGGGTCTCGAAGGAACTTGTCTCTCGGGACTAGAAACTCTAGCGGGTTGGTACAGTGTTGTAGGAAACGGGAAAGTCTTTACTCTCCAAGCTTGCCCACGGGATCCATCAAAGAACATAGGTATCAGTGTCTTCACAGGGGAATGCGGTAGCTTGGTCTGTATCGAAAACCAATCGAGACAAGCGGCAACTTGTGAAAATGGGTATTCAACGTCGTGGATTACAGAAAACGAAAAAACATACAGTATTTTGCTCACAGGACTGCCAGTTGGGGTTGACCTGATCTCTTCTGGACGGCGTTTGGAGGCAGTAGACGGGCCTGACTTTGAACTGGAGTTCACCGAGGAACAGATTCCGGAAAACAGTTTGTGTGGACTGTCCTCTTCGATTGCGTCTGAAGGCTCTGCGAAGGGTATTACCGTTATTGGAGATTCTGACTATGTATACAATACTTGTGAAGGAACAGAAAAGACGGGTGCATGGTATTCTGTCTCAGAAGGTACTCCAAGTGAAGATGGAATAATTGTGTACGAGGCAAGTACCTGCAATTCAGAAACTACGTTCTATAATGCGTTGAGCATTTTTAGGGGCGACTGCACATCTTTGCAGTGCGTAGATGTTGATGTTCTTCCCTGCGCGGATAATGACTATGGCCAACGCGTATATTGGACAACTAGTAAGGAAGAAGCGTTCCAGATCTTTGTACACGCTGCAGATACTATTGAGGCCGCACTTTTTGATGCAGGATCTTACGAAATAGATATTGCGTTTAACGATAGGCAAATAAATGACCAATGCAGTCAGGCAATAGAATTGGAATTGGATGCTGAAATCATGGGATCGACGAAAGGCTCGAAGCCAGATATGAGTGCAATTAGTGACTCGTCGTGTGGGACAGGAAGCGCTGGTGTGTGGCATAGTATTGTTGGAAATGGAGGTATATTTCAAGCTTCCACATGCTCAAATGAGACCGACCATAAAACATCGATCTACGTATATTCTGGTGGATGCGGGAGCCTAAATTGCATAGATGAAAAAGGGCCCAATAAATCGCTTTGTTTAGACGAAGTTGCGAGTGACAAAGCAGCTGTCGTCAACTTTAAAACGCAAGTGGATGTATTATATCACGTTCTCGTTTCAGGACACGAAGAAGATGGCAAAGAGTCGGGGAATTTCGGTCTCACAGTTACAGAAATCACACCCTCCGCTGGGAATGAATGCAAAGAGGCTTTACCAATTTCCCTGGATGACCCTAGTACTCTTGGCAGTACGCTGCAATCTACTGTTGACTTTAGCCTTGGCGATGTTTGTGGCGCTCCGTTAGATACTCCTGGCGTTTGGTATACTATCGAAGGCACAGGTAAAGGTTTGGAAATAAGTACATGCAAAAGCAATAACTTCAACACTGCTATCAGTGTGTTTGAAGGCTCGTGTGAAAGTTTAGAATGTGTCACCGGTACCCAAGCGAAAGATGCAGCGTGTGACAACTCAGGAGTAACAGCAGCCTTCCAATCTAAATCTGCAACAACTTACTATATTTTTGTCCACGGAACAGAATCCTTAAGTAGCATGGGCGACTTCGAATTGACCTACAAAGAGTTTGATGTTCTCGAAACAAACGAATTTTGTCCACAAGCTCGTTCCATTACAGCCGACGGGAGTCGGATTCAAGGATCAACAGAAGATGCGACACACGCAACAATCCAAGAAACGTCGTGTGGGGTGGAAATCAGCAATCCTGGGCTGTGGTACAATTTTAAGGGGAACGGACAACCCTTTACTATTTCGGCGTGCAACGAAGACGCTGATGAGTTTGATGTATCGATTTCCATCTTTACGGGAAGCTGTGGTAATCTCAAATGCATTGCTGGAACCACGTTTTTCCAAAACGTATGCTCAACGCTGGAAACTAGACGACAGCTGCAATCATCGACTTCTGGTAACAACGTACGTCTCATGACAGTGAATCTCGAGGACTATTACGTATTTGTTCACGGACAAAACGGAGTCGGCGATTTTGATTTGTTCGTGAGAGACGAGAATCTCTCGGGCTTTGGAACAGCTGCGCCCTCGGAGACTCCGATACAGTATGGAACAGATTTATACCGTTGGACCATTATCGACGTTGGCATTGAGATCGTGACAGATTATTTGAAACTAACAATCGTGTCGCCTCCAAACAACGGCACGGCATCGGTGCTAGGACCCATCATTGAATACAATCCAAATTCTGGATTCAATGGAGACGATGCCATGACGTTGGACGGATGTGTACAAAGCGATTGTCTCCGATTTGATGTCATCGTTAGTGTTATGGGGAACGAACGTACTATCCCTCTTTCTTTAAATGGTAGTACAAGCGACGACGAATGGAACAAGTTGTGGCTCCTGGCAATACTGCTGGTATTGGTTCCTTGTTGTACCTGCATCCCGTTGATTTATTTCTTTTACCAGAAGAAAAAGAGAAAACAAGAAGAGAACGATGTCAATAACCATAGTAGTGACAGCGAAGGATTTGAAGACGATTTCTCGGATGACGACGAGAAAGGCGAAAGGAAATTATTGTCGAATGATGACGACTACAGTGATGATGACTGGGAATCCAGTGACGACGACGAGAGCAGTGATGACAACTCGGAATCCAGTTTCGACGACGAGGATGCTGATGGCTGGGGATCGACACTTCCCTCAAAACCCAAAAAACCTGCTGTGACCGACCCAAATAGTGAAAACGATTGGGAATCCAGTGATAGTGACGAGGATTAAGCTTTTGTTTCCTCGTTTTCGAAAGAAGTTTGTATCGTAGTGCATTCCGTCCGCACTAGAAGATTTCAAACTTGATCTCCATCTGTACTAATAGCACTTGTATAAATCGAAGTAAACCTATGAATTGTGCCATCGGAACCCAAAACGTATATCGGAGTATCCCTATAAATTGTGTCATCGAAACCCAATTATCTTTCGATTTAGTCAAGAAATTTTCATGCTATTGCTAAGACAAATTTCTATTGCTTCAGAGGTTGTGATGATGTCTCGCAAGATATTGGAATCATATGTGCGAAGTATGCTGGACTGGCAGGAGCATAACAAAAAACTTCAGTGGAATAAAATAATAATGGCAATACATGGTACTATGGAGGAAACATATTTGGACCTGTTTGGTAATACAATGGATATAAAAACTAATGACCAATGCGTTTCAGTAGTATGACTACTTCATCAGAAAGGAGTGACAGGAGGAGAGATTTATGCATGGGTGTTGCTAGTAGTACTGCTATCATACTATGCACGAAATTACCTGTACTTTTAAGTGTATGAATCGTGCGAATACGAGAATTCCAGAGTTCCGATTAGCACCTATGTAGGTCCTGGTACTGATCTACATGAGGTTCTTACTATTCCAGACTCGTGACATCTTCACTACGAGTTTCGTAACAATTGAAACCGGACTCCGCCAGAGAGCAATAAGTAATAATTTCAAGTTCTAAACTTTGATGTGCAAGAAGCTTATCTTTGGTAATGGTTTAAAATTAGTAATGATATTCGAACTCTTCTTATTTTACTTGAATTTACTAGTACTTGTACTTATAGTTTTCTATTACTTCTGTTCTGACAACTTCGTAAAACACTAGAACAGGTATAATCTACTTCATAACATTGAAATTGGGTTTAGTGGATCTTATTCCTTCAAATGGTTTCGGAATATCCACCAACGCAAGGCCCACAATAATCCTTGGGATAGAAACGCAGGGCATCGGAATCGGGTTCTGGGACACAGAAAGTCTTGTATCCATCACGCGCCGAATAATGGCAAACGTATACCTTGTCGCTGCTTGGGCCACAGGGATAATCTTCAACGACACAGAAATGATCTTCGTCTTCAAGCTTTTCCTCGTCGAGTTTGCGGCGACCTTGTGGATAGRWCGCGTCCTTCGGCGACGCAGAGGGAGACGCTGACGGAGACGAAGACACTGAGGAAGATACTGATGATGTTGGGCGACTGGTGCCTGAATCTATCAACTTGGGTGATCCAGTGGAGGTACTGACAGCATCCCCGACCTCCGAGAGGTCGATGGGGCATGGATCTACACAAGGCAGCTTGAAGGTATACTGTACGGTTTTGCATTCATCACCCGGGTGGCAACACTCGGGTACCTCAGCATTGTCGAGTTCGTCAAGGAAAGGCGAAGCATCGTTGCAGTCTGATATCCAAACATTTACGATAGAAATCTTTGCGTGGACCATGCACTGCGCGACAAACTCAATTTCTTGATTTGTTTCCACGTTTTCCTCTTCAAGACACTCGGTTTCTCCAAAATCTCCACTGTGGTATTCCGTGAAAACGCTCGAGATCAGATTTCCAAAAGTGTTCTCGACCCTGAATCCCACATGCGTAGTGTTCTGGTACGTAATGGCGAGCGGCGGAGCCGGGTACATTGTTTCTCCCTCGACAGCCACCAATATGGGATCGGAAGGGGGGCAATGGACGGGTAATTCAAAAGTTGGAGTACCAGTAGGTGATGAGCTGACCAGTGAATTTGGTGGATCGGTTCTGCGTTCAGGAGGTTTGGGCAAGCTCGTGGGGCTGTCCGACGATTTGCTAGCAGAGGGACCCACACTCGGATAGTCAGAGGGACCCGCAGTCGGATAGTCAGAGGGATAGTCAGAGGGATAGTCAGAGGGATAGTCAGAGGGATAGTCAGAGGGATAGTCAGAGGGATAATCAGAGGGATAATCAGAGGGATAATCAGAGGGACCCGCACTCGGATAGTCAGAAGGACCCACGCTCGGATAGTCAGAGGGACTGGAACTTGGGTAAGTACTGACTGTTGGACCTTCAGATGGGGCAGAACTAGGATAGAAGCTACCGCTGGGTGCAGAACTTGGTTCCCCACATTCAACACTGACTGAATCGCACGGAATTTCAACTCGGTAGGCGCAGAACTCGTAATGACCACCAACATCCGCTAGTTCGTCCACATCACAAGCGTCACAATCATCAGGATCAAATTCTTCATCGAGGTAGACAACAATTGTGTAAGAAGAAAATCCTTCAACGCATGAGCCTCCAAAGTCTTCAGAGTCTCCAAAAGCAACATTGCCCTTGATAATACAAGTGCTGTCCAGACCACCTTCGATTGCAAGCCCAGCTACATCATCCCATAACTGGTTCACCGTAAATTCGACAGTGTCCCCCATTTGACTTCTAATAATGATACCATTCTCAGGCATTGAGATGGTTTCATTAAAATCACCATTTGTGGTCATGCAGATAGAATCAACGACCTTAGGTGGATTGGGTTCATAACAGTCAGTAGGTTGCAACGATTCAGTGGGATAATCTGTTGGACTCTCAGAGGGTGATGATGACGGATAACTCGAAGGCAACGCTGATGGCTCACTACTGGGTGATGAACTAGGGAAAGCACTCAGTGTTGGAGAGTCCGATGGAGCACTACTAGGGTAGAAACTTGCACTTGGTTCCTCACTCGGATATGAGCTAGGTTCACCGCTTGGAATGCTGGAGGGATATGCACTAGGGCTACTTGATGGCGACCCACTGGGTGATGAACTAGGGACAACACTTTCTGATGGAGAATCTGAAGGAGCACTACTGGGGTAGAAACTTCCACTAGGTTCCTCACTAGGGGATGAACTGGGTTCATCGCTTGGACTGCTGGAGGGATATGAACTAGGGCTACTTGATGGTTCTCCACTTGGCTCAGAGCTTGGATAGCTAGATGGATATGCACTAGGACTTGACGATGGCTCTCCAGAAGGACTGGATGAAGGCATGGATGATGGTTCACCAGAAGGGGAGGCTGAAGG